TTTAGATAAGAAAATCTATATGTCGCAGCCTGAGGGCTTTGTGGATCCCATGAAGAGTGATCATGTGTGTTTGCTTAGGAAGGCCTTGTACGGCCTGAAGCAGTCCCCGAGGCAGTGGAATATCAAATTTGACCAGTGCATGTCATCTTTGAAATTTCACAAGTCCGAATGCGACCATTGCCTATACTTTAAAAATACTTCCTTTGTGCCTGTGTTTTTATTGCTATATGTGGATGATATGCTTATTGTGAGTCCTTCGGGTGACGCCATTAAATGTGTGCAAAAGCGTCTCAGTGAGAACTTTGCTATGAAAGACCTAGGTGATGCCAAAAGGATCCTAGGCATTAACATTGTTAGGGATAGGAGTAAGCGTGTGTTAGTTCTCAATCAGATTTCATACATTGAAAAGATTTTGAGTAAATATAACATGCATTCTGCTACTCCCGTTTCTATCCCGATGGCGTCTCACTTTGTGTTAAGTAAGGATCAGTCTCCTAAGACTGCTCCTGAAATTGCTAAAATGAAATCTGTGCCTTATTCCAATGCTATTGGGTCCGTGATGTATCTCATGGTGAGTACTAGACCCGACATTGCCTATGCTGTTAGTTGTTTGAGTAGGTATATGTCTAATCCTGGTTTAGATCATTGGAATGCTCTTAAGTGGTTGCTTAGTTATTTGAAATCTTCTGTTAATCATGGGTTGGTTTTCACTAGGTGTTCTGAGGGGGTTAAGTTGAGTGGGTATGTGGATTCTAATTTTGCTAATGATAGAGACAATAGGAAATCCACTACCTCTTATGTGTTTACTCTTTGTGGGTCGTGCATTAGTTGGAAATCTCAACTTCAACCCATAGTTGCCCTATCCACCACTGAGTCGGAGTATGTGGCCGCTACTGAAGCGTTTAAGGAAGCCATTTGGCTTAAACGTCTCCTAACGGAGATTGGTAGTCTCAAGCAGGATATTTGTGTGTTTTCTGATAGTCAATCTGCTATTCAATTGTGTAAAAACCCTGTTTTTCATGATAGAACTAAGCACATTGATGTTAGATTTCATTTTATACGTGATATTGTGAGTGCAGGTCATATCAAGTTGATTAAAATTCCATCGGAATTTAATCCTGCTGACATGGGGACTAAATGTCTCTCTGTCGAAAAGTTGCTGTCGTGCAAACGCACGTTAAACATTGATTGCGGATAAGTTGCCTGGTGATCTTACCCCTTTTGCCTGAATATGTCTTTGTGATTATTCGGGCAATCCAGCGATGATGAGTCTCAAACTGTTTTAGAGTGTTGTGCTCTTTCACCACCATGGTCCAATAAGGTGGAGAATGTGTAAGGTATTGGCCCATGTTTCTTTTTCCTTAAGCCCAATTCAAACCTGACCCATCAATTCTTTTCCTCCTTGGATCGGCTTCTCCCTTATGCGAAAGAACTCTTCCGCCTTTACTGGTTCAATTCATCGACAATTAACCTTTCCTTGTACAGGCTTCCACAATCTTCCCATATGGTAATTACCATCTTGAGCCGATTGCTTTGCCTATTAATATTCTTAACCTCTGCGATGATGCAAGTTGGCCGATAACTCTATTCCCAGAATCAGTCCACCCCTCTTTCTTACTTGGTAGGTTTTGTGGGAGATTGGTCGTGAATTGGCCGGAAAAGCACTGCTGGCTGACGCCCCGTCTCCCCTTTAGACTGTGGTGGTGGTTATTCATCCTTTGTGGGTGTAAAACTTGGAGACCTGAGCTGGAAGTAGTTCTTACATTCACTAGTAGATGGAGCGTATGAGCATTTTTGCCTGATAGTTCTTTCAAGACTTGTGAAGAGACTTCTTTGAAACTTTTTTTGCTGGTTTTCTTTTTGTTTTTTCTATTCACCATACATTTGTTATCTTACTTCTCTATTTTGTATCATTATCCATTTCACATTTTAGGTTCTTACTCTATGAAAAGGGCATAAATAGTGAATAGAGTTCTTTAATCACTATCCATATACCTTACCTCTTTTGGATATGGTAATGACATAATTTCACTATTGTTATTAATTTAGATAGATAAGATGTTAACTTTTCAGTTTTATTCTTTTTGTGTTATTCGATTGAATGTGAATGAGAGAGAAGAACATATTATATAACAATGTTGACTCATATAAATGATATACACATAATCACTACTTTTACTAAACTTGACTAATATCTCAAAGAAGATATAAACTAATTAATTACTTTTAATATATTCTAATATGTTTTTTAATTCAGTGAAAATAATAATTACTTTTATCTTCTTCACACAAGCTTTTTATTTTTTGCATCTCTACCTTTTGTTTTCATTTTATTGTGTGCAACAAATAATTAATTACATTTTGCTACACCTCTAATGGTTTTTAGGAGTTTATGAAGATCTCTATTGAAGCTTCTCGTTCAGAAGAGGCCATGAAAATGGGTTGGGAAGTATACCATCACTTGAAAGTTATTTGACTACCATTTATCTATTTGTACCATAGTAATAGGACCATAATAATAGTGGATAGTATTTGCTGCAGTTGTGTAGAACCACAACAAAAATCTATTTTCAAAAAACTTTTTGTTGTGGTTCTACAACAAATGCAACAAATTAAAAGGTTTTTTTTTTGAAAAATTAATCTTGCTTGCTCTCTTTTTAACCTGCCTCTTATCAGTTTCAAACTTGTGACCTCAAACGCACTCAAAGCGCTCAAAAACCACATAACATATCCATTTCCAAACCGCTAAGCCATTGAAGATTCTTAGTCCATATATATTAAATATGGGATATATGTACTCTAAAAAGGTTATATAATGAATAAAGTATTTTGGATTAATAGTTTTTTCAATTCTTATAGTAAATAGTGTGTAATACTACACATTATTTATGTAATTTGTATTAGATATTTAGATCTAATTAATATTTTTTTAATTATATGCACAATACTTCCAAGATATATTAACTATGCACTTGAGTACTCGATGGGATACTATTTTCTCACAACTTGATATTTTCTCCCTTTGTCCCATTTTAGTTAGCAAAACACTATTTTTCATGTCATGGTGTCTAAGTTCGACTGATTATATATATTTATAAACAAAAGTATTGATAATATGAAAATGGTATAGAAATATTCTTTGTCAAAAATACTCTTATACACGTATAAAATTATTAAATTTTACACAACTATATTAGTTAAAATAATTTGTCAAAGTTTACCATTTTGACCAAAAAAAGTTAAAGATAGCTAACTAAAATGGGATGGATGTAGTATGATTTTGTATGTTTGGAATTGGTTACTGGAATGTCGTGGACGTTGATAAAAATGTCAAGGAATTTGTTTTACTTTCTTCTTAGAAACGAACCATACTTATGTTTAATTTTCACATCATTGTTCATGCTCATGTTTTTTTAGGTAGGTACAATGGTGGACTTAAAGATTCAGCTGTTGTTAAAAATCAATTCAAGCAACATGCTTTTGTTTTAATTTTGAGGTTAGTTAATTGTGTGGATTTGTATTATTAATCCACACATTTTTGTTCGACAATTGATGCCATATCATGGTTAGTTGTTGCATACATATTTCACATTAAAACAATTTCATTTTTGAAAAATTGAAGTAATGATCTCAAATCATCAGTCTTATAATTAAGATTTCCAACAAATCAAATGTGTTTTAGGTTTTCGACTAGGTTCTGATCTACTCCGTAGACACTAGAGCAATATAATACACCTGCAAGCAAGTTTTTTTCTTCCGCCAGCAATTTCCTTCAATTGAATTTTTGTTTGCATGTACACCATGATTTAGAAACGTACTCCATATAAATTAGGTAGATTTTATGGTACCTATAAGGTACCGTACCTTTGTCCACATGGACCAATCAGAATTGTATAGTTGAATTATTTAAATCTAATTAAATTAAAATGGATTTAATCATTTGGACCAATCAAATGCATGATAGGTACGGTACCCCATTTTTTAAATGGGTACCGGAGTTGTCACCTATAAATTACTTCGTATAAGATTATAAGTCAAAATGCCGCCACATGAAGTTATTGAAATTAAAACTCTAATATCTATATTAGTTCAACTGTTCATACCTTATATATATATATATATATATATATATATATATATATATATATATATATATATATTGTCATTCGCTATTTTAATTTCTGTTAATATACAAATAAGCGTTTATATTTTACTGCTCTTGATTACTCCCTCCGTCGTCCCAGAATTAACTTCAGTTTTGACTAGGCACGGATATTAAGAAAGTGAGAAATATGTGGTGGAGAGTTGTGCAGAGGAGAAAGAAATGTGTGAGAATGGTTGTGAACCACAAATCCTTTGCTAAAAAGGGAAAGATGAGATAAATTTGGGACGGACCAAAAAGGAAAGAATGAAGATAATTATGGGACGGATGGAGTATTTAAATGAATATAGTGATAAAAAGGGGAAGCCCGGTGCACAAAGGGATTCCCGCAAAGTGAGAGTTCGGGGAAAGGTCCAACCACAAGGGTATACAAGGAGCAAGTTTTCACCTATCGAATTTTGATGAAATTAAAGGCCGCTTCCATGACTTTGACCCGTGACCTTTCTATCACACAATAACATCATAATCCATACTCAAAGACCCCCTTCTAAATGAATATAGTGATATTTCAAAAAATCTTTCAAATTTGTACACATTCAATATACGGAGTATGTAATATAAAATGCCACATTCAACATATTTGTATTATGCTTGTACTCCGTAAGTAGGTATATTAAGTTTAAGTATTAGTGAACAAGCTTAGGAATTAAGATAACGGCAATAACGTTAAAGTGGTAATAATTGGGATGTTTTCTTTTGGACTGAAATTGCTGGTCTGGTCTGAACTGGAGTGGTAATTGTCTGGTCTCTGTGTATTTTATAATTATGGAAGTCTGGTCTGGTACCGGTCTGGTCTGGTCCTATCTGATCTGATCTGGAACTGAAGCCTAAATGAAAACGGCCAAACATGCTAGGAGACGGATGCATGCGTGCATAAAGATGGATCGAGTAACAAATTTAAACATAAGCTTATAAATTAGCTAGCCGGCCGGCCGCTTGGTTTATTTCTTATTGTACAAACTAAGATAGATTCAGATAAATGCACCCATGCTCGGGGCCAGGGCCACATATCATGGCCCGGCCGCGGCACTTTTATTATTATTAACATAGATAGGTAGCTAGCTAGCAAGCGAGCGCGGTCCATATATATGGATCAGGTCACCAGAAACCTGCCGCTGCATTCGAAAAGCTAACGTCGGTGTTGTTGTTAATGCACCAGCCATAGTCAATCTGGGGGTTAGGGTAGCGGGCGCAAAAGTTGAGCCCACCACCACTCCCGGCTTTCTTGATGCACTCCTCATCAGATTGGCACAAGTTCGGGTGCTCTTCAATCCTCTTCGCAAGCGACTTGTCCCCAAGTGGGTATATGCACTGCCCAATGAATAGCCCCCAGGGAATGCACCGGCACCCTAGCGCATCGCCGCATGGCGGCATCTCGAAAGGCGAACACACATCCCGACCGTTACACGATGCCCTTGCCGTCTTCATCATTCCCATCATCACTACTGCATTCAAATTCATTAATCAGAGAAAGTTTCTTAAATAGGACTAAAACATATACACTCCTAATAGGAGAAATTTTATTCTTGTAGTCCTATTAAGAACAATATTTGTACAACTAATATTGCTAAAATGAAAAAAAAAAAAGTAAAGGAAATTAAGAATGTAATAGTGCCATGCATACCCGAAGAGGCGAGCATGATAACAGCGAAAGGAGCAAGCCGGCTACCGTAATCCATAGTGCTGTTTTCTGCTACAAATCAATGAGAATTTTTTAAAACATAGTATAGCATTATAAGACCAGTGGCAGTGGGAGTAATTTGGGAGTCCAAAAAATTATACTCCGTAAATAACTATTTGAACTCTTAAATCGAGGAAGGTATTTTCCATATGGATCATGTCAATAGTTTAGCGGGGTGAGATCTTAAGGAATTTATATTGTGGAGACCAAATGAAACTTAAAATTTCACTATATTTTTTATTACTTATAAAATATTTATACATATGCATGTCATAGATACATCACAAAAATTTTCTTGAGGGGGCCGGGCAAGGCCTCCGCCAGCCTCCCCTGTCTCCCCCACTGATATCAATATTACCGTCTTTTCTGTAATTAATTTGTTGATTATTTTGATACTTATGCCAAGTACGTATAAAATTAATTAAAAAAATATCTACTTTGTTTGTAGTTATGGGAAAATTCTCTTCATTCATGGATTCACGACTTCTCAAACAAGTGTCAAAGTTTCTTCGCAAAATGGCAGACATTCACTTTTCAGAAGTTTTTGTTATTTTATTCTTTTAATGGGAACTGAGTAATTAGGTCTTTTTCGCGAATAAAACATATCTAGCTCTATAATATTTCAAAAGATATATTGAGTGTGAATGTTGTACTACCAAGTACCAAGTAGCTAGTAGTACTACCCATCATTTTTACTTTTCATTTCTCTTTTCAAGACTGCCGAATTAGAAATATAGATAGATGTTCATAAATCATGCTATGAAAAAATAGACTCAAATTTGAATGAATGAAGAGAAAAAATAGTTACCTATACCGACGAGATGATATGTAATAGGACAATCAATTGATTAGCAGAAGTCGTAGGTAATGCGTGATCTGCTTCCAAAACAATGGCCCTATGCCCCTATTTATATGCATTCTCGGACCTCTCAGTCACTCAATACCCCAATAAATGGGTCCATGCCATTTAGTAGCTATAGTTCTTAATAATTAAAAACTGGGTCCATTTGGTAGGTTTAGTTCTTTAATTATTTTAAAAACTATCTCAGCTACCATTTCACCAAGTGAGGGTGATTGGTGTAGTAAAAAAAGTAGATAATTTTTTAGACATAAATTTTCACATAGATAATACATACGTTGATACGTATTACGGAGTACATTTTTCAAATTTAGATAATTTTTTAGTCTGGCTGCCCCCTTCTAGCCCCGCCCCGGAATTCCGAAAGCAATTCAGTCATCAACGATCAATAATTAAACGTGACCAATATTAATTAAACGTGACCAATATTAATTAAAACAAAACTATTATTGCTCTAAAAAGCATTTAGAATTAGATTGACAATAAAATGAATATAACATTCAATACATAAAATTAAAAAATAGTTCAATTCAATTTGATTATATGAAATTGATCATCACCTCATATATAAATGTTCAAATTTAATTAGATTCTTGTCTATGAGATAATGAGAATTAGAACTAAATTAGTTTGGGTCTTATACAAATAATCTCATCTTAGAAATAGGTTAGAATTGTGATAATAGAATTTAATTCATGTGTATGGCAGTTGATTTCATTTTCAGCTTAGATCAGAAAAGTTGAAGATTGAATAACCTTTCAAAATAGGAAAGACGTTCAGAACTCGAACCATCTATAGTTTTATATAGTAAACTTGAGTTAAAAAACAATGATGTGTCAACTTCTTATTGGATAATGCAAATTCTATTATCATTACAAATAAAACAATTAATTAATTCAATGTGCACCACATTTAAAACTTGAGTTACGGCTGATTTAGAGCAAGAGTATGAGAAAAAAAATCTCTTAATATTACGGCTAAAAAAGCTAGGAAGCATTAAACAGTTCCACTTTTTATGGCTAATTAATAGCTAAGAAAGAAATTAGGTGACAACTCTGGCACTTTTCTAAAAATGGGGTACCGTACCTACCACCCATTTGATTGGACCACATCACTTTATCGGTCATTTTTAATTTAGATTTAAATAACTCAACTGCTACATTCTCATTGGTCCATGTGGACAAAAGTATGGTACCTTATGGATACTATAGAATCTACCAAGAAATTAACATGTAACAGCCAATGTAACATGTACCAGCCAATAGCAAAATTTAACCTTACTTATTCTTATTACATAGTTTGTCGCGCGAAGTCAAAAATTACAAATTTGGTAAAACAATTGACTGATAAGCTAAAAATAAAAGTTTCTAAAAAGCTCTAAATATATAATACTTCGTAAATGATAGATGGGTAATTTAATAATCACCTACAAATACAAATTTACAATTGGTTGTGGTAGTTCATTAGAAAAACTCATTATATTCATCTTTGAATTTCATAAGTAATTCTCAGTATCTATTACGGAGTAGTATTTTTCATTGTAACTCATATCAAATAGTCGGGTTGCCGGGGCATTGCCCCGGGCTTTACACTAGTCCAATGTATAGTAAACCCTACTTTAACATTTAGACTCCATATAATTATTTTCATTCGATTGATTTTGCTGTGGTTGTTTGCTGGAGTTGTTAGTAAAATTACCCAACTCAATTATCTAGAAAAAATTAGAGGGGCTTGTTACAAATTTGGTTCCAGTGTTCTGATTGACTGATTCCCTCTTTAAGGCTGATTGCAAGTTGATCAGACCATTTCATTGAAACATGATTAAAACTTAATTCAAAATATTATACTACATAATTAAGGGTATTTTGACTGCTTAATGAGTATTGGAATTATTTTATTATTGTGAACACAAGTTACCTTTTATTTTAATTTTATATTATTATATGTCAATTACTACGTAGTATAATTTTTTATTGATGTTGACCAGGGTTTTCGGTGCTGATCGAATTGACCCGTTGGGTCTGGACTGACCTATGACCAAGACGTTCGGCCGGGTCACTTCTTATTCCAGTTTTTAATAACATAACTCTAGATAAGTACTACATACATACATGATAGTTGATTATATTGAGTTTAAGGTGCAATTTAACACAATTATTCATTTTAATACGGAGTAAATTATATCGTGTTGTTTGTTTCTGCCAAACAATGTCTATGGTTTGGCGACCAATTAAGGGGGTCTCCATTGATGAAATTGAGGATTCAAAATTCTTATTCCAGTTTTATTATGAAGGAGATCTGAACATAGTTGTTGATGAAGGGCCTTGGTCCTTCTAACAGAATCTTGTGGTTATCAAACGGTTAGGGCAACTGGTAAGCCTTTGGAGGTTACTTTGGACCATGCATATTTTTGGGTTCAGGTGCATGACCTACGTACCGCTAAGTTATATGACTCGTGGAATAGCCAACAACATTATATTATTGGATCATTTGTGCAAATGGATGAGAGCTCTCTTGATGGAAAGCAAAGGCTGGGTATGCGCATAAGAGTCACTCTGAACATTACTATGGCCCTGACTCGGTGTTTACAGGTCAGACAGTAGGGGGATGGCTGGGCCTGGGCAAATTTTCGGTATGAGAGACTCCCGAATTTTTGTTTCCTGTGCGGGATCCTTGGTCATGCTGACCGTTTTTGTCCCTCTAACCCACATAGTGGAATAGGGATCAGGGAGAAACCTTATGGGTCATGGCTACGGGATGACATGAGGCGGGGAGCTGAGGAGTGCACGCGGGGAACAGGTGGCTTATTCCTAGCAATAACAAATCTGGTGATAGACAGAATGAAAAGGCATAGTCTGATAATGGAACAAAGGAATATGAAAGCTATATGGTGGTATGACTCTTGTCAAAGGGTACGGAGATTGCTACAACTGAGGATGCGCCAAGAAAGCGTAGGATCACTGGGAAGGATAGCGAGGCAGGGGCACAGGCGAGCATGGATGTGGATGAAGAATCTTCAAAAAACTTGGAAGTGGCGGTGTTGTCCAGACAACACCGCCAGTAACAGGAGAGTACGAGGATAAGGACGTACCTTTAGCGGAGGCCGGTCAAACCGCTGCTCCCTTGTCAGTGGCTGGACAAACTGGATTATGTTTTTCTTTTGTTTTTTCTTCAGTTCAGAACTCTGTTATGTTTTTTCAATTTTCTTTTAGTAGCAGGTGCAACATTGTTGTGTACGGAGTCTACCAAATTGCGGGGTTAGCGAGATGGTCCGCTAGTAAGCGCGAATCCAACTCTGAGTCTCACCCCAGTGTAGCCTTTGTTATGACGAATTCGCGAATTCAGCTCTGAGTCCCACCCCTGTGTAGCCTTTGTTATGGCGAATTTGTATTTAATCCTCAATTTTATTAATAATTAATGGGGCAATTTCCTGCGATATGATGATTGTTTGGTCATATTCATACAAATCAGTAGCCGTCCCAACCAAAAATCAATCTACCTAATGTTTACAATGCAATAATGGTAATGTGATGTAATTGATGTTCTAAATTAAAAGGCAGTGAAAGGCGTGGTTTAGGCGTTTTTTATTTTTTTATTTTTTTGCAAGGACATGCAAAATGCCATGCATCATAGAAAGGCATAAAAAAGCGGTCAACTAAAGAGTGAACCAACTAAGGGGTGAAAAGGTGCAAGTCAAGGCGCGAAATACAAATGTTTTTTAGATGTTTTTTTCCTGCAAAGAAATAATTAATCAAATTTTTAAAAATTCACTTTTATAAACTTGTTATATATGGAATCTAATATGCAGTAGTAAAAACAACAATGTATTTGTACTTTTTATACATTTAATAATTGCATATATTAACAAAGTAAAAATTAGAGTCAATCTTGTATAATACGGGGTATTATTTAACATTTTTTATTGTTTCTTCATATGTCACTATAAAATACTACCTTTGTCCCATTTTATGTGTCCTACTTTGTTATGGCACAATTATTAGTAAAGTGATTCAAAAAGTAAAAATTGTGGTTGAGATTTGAGTATAATAAAATAAAGTAATGTAGATCACTCATTTTGAGAGAGCCTTAAAAGGAAATTAGGACAGACAAAATGAGATAGATAGAATAGTACGGAGCAATTACCAATTGAAATATAAAACGATTTTTCACGCCTAAACTTTGTATACATTTCAAAGGTTTGGGATATGACCTTGCCGCCCTACCACGCTTCACGTAATTTAGAACAAAATTAGTTTTTATAAAATGTGTTCAATATTTCTTGAATCATTAAAAGTCTAATGGATAGAGCCATAGGGGGGAATTGATCGCTCTGGTTATGATAGACAACTAGCTTGGGATGAAGATAAGGCGTCGAGGAATTGACATGTGTGTACAAAATAATTCCAGATATATAATTAAAATAAAAGTAGTGGATAAAATGTGATCCTCATTACTTTAGTAACTATAATTGTATTTAAATATTACAGAGTATATCACAATGATTATAAAATTTACATATAGTAATTAATAATCACATTTTTGTTCATAAGTTTTTTATTAGTAACACTTTAAGAGAAAAACTCTTTTTTTAAAGGAAGAGAAAAACTCTTATTATCACATTTCTCCCCCATCTCCCTTCTTTTCTCTCTCTTTCCCTTCTCTTTCCCCCTCTTCCTTCTCACCACCTCCAAAGTCCAAACACTACCATTTCCAATCACCGGAAATAATGCCGACGAGTGTTAGAAATGTCATCTTGATGGCAGTTTTCGAGAAAAATTTCACACTTTTCAAAGAATAAAAATGTCATCTTCATGGCATTTTCAGAAGAAAAAAATGGCAATTTTACACAAAATGACATTTTTTTAGCCGATCAAAGATAACATTGTTGACCAGTGGCCGAGGTTATGGGGAAGGCCTTAATTTTTAAGGTGTTTGATCCATTATTTATTTATTTTTAAAGTTCTTTATTTTAAATTATTTTAAATTTTATTATTTTCATATTTTAAAAAAAAATATTGATTTTTTTTATGTTTTTCACGATTTTTTTGTATAAATTAATTTTTTTTTTTATTTTTTGTTTTTGTTACAA